CCCTCGACTTCCATCGATGACACATTGAGCGAGCATTATTCCCGACAGCGAGGGTTGCAAAGTTGCGAGACACGGTTTGAGAAGTCTTGACAACTTTCTGAAACAGCTCCTTTGTCGTCCTTCCATGATAGTCGATCGAATCTCCGCAGTAAATGGCAATTATAACCATGCTCAGCGAGTTCGCTGGGAAGATGTTTGCGAAAGGGAAAAGATGGGGATAGGGGAGCGTTCTCTTGAGAGGGGTTACAGATTTGGTATCACGTTTGAGTGAGGGAGTGGTAGTGCCGTTGATATTCGATTGGTCACTTATGACTCCTTCAATGGCGCCATTGATTACGCTACCAAAAATTGGCTGGTATAGACCGGCGTAAAGCTGGGAAGCGATGGAGGCAAACGTCCATCTCCTTGGGTTCGAGCTGATCGTTGTATTGCGAATATCCAGTACAGGATTCCATTTTGTACCATCATAGTTCTGATATGCGACATCCAAGACATGCTCTACCAGGTTTCGAACTCCTTCTGCCGTGTTGTTTCCCTTGGCAGCCATAGTACATTTGTCAGGATTAGCGACACAGAGCTCTGTCCATTTGACGAACGCTTGCTCCGCAGATTCCGTATCCGTTTCTAGCCAGTCTATGGGAACTTTATTGGAGTAAGAATATGGTTCCAGTACACCTGTCAGAGATATCAGTCATGAATGTGTATACAGCACCAGTTAAGGTTTCACCATCGATTATCACTTTCCCGACTCGTTTGGGAAACATTTGTGTTAGATACGTGGCAATGACTGTTCTATTGAGGGGATAAGTATGTGAAACACAGCGGCCTGGTCACATACCCGTAGCTAACTCCCCAAAAGTTCACATCCGCTCCATTTCCATAGATTGCATCTACCAGAGCGACAAGGTCTCTTGTGACCGCACAAGTACCTAAACTGAATGACGGTCAGAAAGGAGGAAATGGAACGATGGTATACCACCGTACTATTTGAGGTTATCACCATTCTTCTGGACCATCATTGCGTCTAATGATTGGGTCACTGCGTCGAAAGAAGATACTTGCGACATACTGCACACAATATTGTGAATGGACCCATCTCTCTGACGATATGGTACCTACAAGAAAGCTACATCGGATGAAGTTGTAAGGTTTCCACGCGCTTCGAGCTGATTTGGTCCTTGGAATTGCTCCCAAAAATCAGCGTACTCGCGGTCGGTGGAGAATAGGGTGATATTTGGACCTGACTTGAGTACTCCTCCTGGAGGGAAATGAGAGGCGACATGAGCCTATAAAAGTCCAGACATACGAGGATCCCAGCTAACCACATCCCATGAGGCCCCTAATTGATTTTGAATGGTGTTCCCTTCTTGCACTAGAGCACCCGTCCCAGACCCTCCTGGCCCACCTATGTTGAAGATCTTTATAATCTGGTATATTGAATCGAGGT